TACTACTACTACTCTCTCTCTCTCTCTCTCTCTCTCTCTCTCTCTCACACACACACACACACACACACACACACACACAAACGCACACACACACACACACACCAAGAAAACACAACTTCAAAGCAGTTTTCAGAAATCCCTGGCACTATTTCAGAATCGCCATTCATTGCTTAGGTCTGTTAGGTGTTTTAAAGGACACTGCCATTTTCATGGTACTTCATTGACTGGGGCTGCATTTTATTAAGCAAACTAAGGTCCCAATTTTTCATCAGGATCTGTTAATATTGACCTTGCAGCTACAGGAGTCTGCACAGGTGCAGGGGTTCAGATCCCCTTACAGGTTTAATATCTACGATGAAATTCTGGCCCTACTGAAATCAAAGGGAGTTATACCTAGGATTTCCCTAGTCTAGAAATACTTTAAAACAATAGTCTAAAATATGGAGGAGATTCTGATAATTACATCCAATGAAGTTATCAGAATTATATAATGAAAAATCAGTAACATTATTTTAAACACAATTTAAAAAAAACATGAATTCAATAGTAAGCCAGCATCAAATAGTCAAATAGGGTAGAAAGCTACCATCTTGACAATGTAACAATGCATCTAAAGATGCCATCCTACAAGGTGCTGTTCTACTTTGGTTTTCCCATTAGAAAGTGCTTTGACAATGGAAACACTCCAAGGTAAAAGCCAGGTAACAAAACCCTCAGTCCTCAGGTAAAAGCCAGGTAACACTCTTAAGTAAAGGCCAGTTCTTTTGGCTTGCAGGTCCAGAGACAATATGAACAGACATTGGTCATAATGGCAATTATCTCAGATGGTATGAGATAAAGGTATGTTTTTGGGAAATGGGGTTTCTGTAGTTTCTGTATTTTTGACTGCATGGATTACTTTAATTTGTTAAAAACTGAGATCATTGTTTAATTGTTGTTTATTAATCCACAAGTGGTGATGATGCCTTAATGAGTGGGGAAGGGGAGAAAGAAGTGAGTAGAGTCAGCCACTGAATCAAATGCTGCTACACTGGGCCCACTGTATGCCATAGCACACACAAACAAAGAGTTAATGTAAGCTAGTGTCCCCACTGTACAGGAACACAGCATTCTGAATTAATATTATTACTTGAGTTGCCATCTTATAAAATCTTTCTTACCAGTTGATCTCTCTCAAGGTCTTTCAAAAGAAAGAGTTCCACGCCTTTTTCAGTGAATAATCTTCGAGCAGCAGTAGGTAAATTCAACATGGTAGTACATCTTTAATAATGGAAAACAGACATACCCTTTTACATATGCTGGATATGGGGACATTATAGTACAGATACTGTAATCATTCAAGTTCTGTATATATCCTTTTAAATTTTTTCAATTATAAACAATATTTGCAAATGTAAAAACATGTTATTACGCATATTGTTAAGCACTGACAATAAACTTAGCACTTTTAGAACGTAGGTACTTTTAGCTGACTTAGCCACAGGATAATGAGGGAAGTACTCAACCTGATGACACTTGCTACCAAATTCCTGCTAATTTTAATAGGTGTATCATATTAAATCATTGAACTATGAGATAAGAATATACTCCAATGAGTCTTGCTTTAATTTTTCCCATTAAAATGGCAACATAAAATGTATTTTCTATGTTTTCAACTAACATCTCTCCTTTATACTGCTATGATTCAAAATCCATTCAAGTCAATGGGAATACTACTATTGTCTTGAATGGCCTTAGGATCTTGTCCTCTGGCCCTGATTTAGTACAGCACTTAAGCACATACTGAAATGTAGTCCTGAACAGGGATGGACTTAAGAGCTTTCCTAAACTGGGGCTTATGTGCTTACTACTAATGTTTTTTAAAATGACATGTTGTCACCTTTAATGAAAACCACTGTAACCATTACCTTTTATAGGGTTATTTAGAAATAAAAGTATATGAATGAAAACACATAAAGCAATTGTATTAGATGATTTTAAAGTGAACTACAATAGTGACCCTACTCTTTTCCTGAGTAGGTTCTGGGACATAAACTATAGATATAAACAATGAGGTTTGGGACATGTTCAGACTTCTGAATAGAAATGGATATCACACTCAAAAATGTCTACATGGTATTGTCTTCATTTTTAGTATAAATATGCACATTAACAAGTTTTAAATACAGATAACAAGGAGTTATTGTGCCCCAGGTGATAGATTTCATAGAAAATTATCTGGCTTTCATTTAATTTATAAAATGTATTTACAACAGGCCAAATCTATTTCTGGTATAACTTCTCTAAAGACAATTCCAGTATGACAGGGATATCAATATATTAATGGAAAAGAATATATGCATTTGAATGTTTACTTGTCCAAAAAGTGCTGAAATTCTATCTTGTATATTTCCATTCCAGGCTCTTCATCAGGATGCATTTTCTGGTTCTCCTTTGTTTTCTGTTTCTTTTCAGGATGAATATTTCTAAAGCAAATGAATACATTTTTAATTGGCACAGTGTGCAAACTCTTAGTTACGCAAGTGCAGTCTGGTCAAGAGACTCAAAAGTGTGAAAGGATCCACGTGTGCGTTTTTCAGTGTCAGGAGCACTCTTTACATGGAAAAATAGAACATCCCTATGTATCTAATTTGGCAAGTTTTACAATTAACTTAGTCACACGTTTGTGAAAACTGGATTTTTATACATGGTTGCCAATCAAATGCAAAGCTTTATTGCATACTACAATCTGAGAGCATTTGAATTTGTCAGAGTACAATATCAGTGGTTTATAAGCAAAGGTTAACTTTAGGATCCAGAATCCAGTCTCTGTTACAACAATGTAAATCTAAACATCAGCAGAGTTACTACAAATTAACACTGGTGTATCTGAGATCAAAATCTACCCTGAACTGAATTGCTAACTTAGTATTTTCTTGTGTAAAATCCCAATATGTCTAATATTGATCTGTTCTCATTTCATGGGGATTTATGCCCTAAATCTTATAAGTGGAGATGACAACAAACCCCAAAAGGCTTAGACAGCATTTTAATGTGAGAAAATTTGTAAATCATTAACTAGATTTAGTCCAATATAAATAGGCACAACTTAATTGACTTCAATGGAGTCATGCTTACTTGCTTGCACCTGAACTTAAATTGGTCCCAACACATTTGAATTTAACATCCATTTTTGCCAATAAAAGACAGAAACTGCAGGAAGAATATCTATATCTGTGAGCATTTCTGCTCGCTCATGGAGCATGTGTTAGGTAAAACTGTCACCATGAAAATATCAACATTTACCAAATTACCATAATGCCATTATTACTTTATTATTTCTTTATTACCGTATTATTTCCTATTGTAATCATAGGGAATTACTGCAGTATCTCTAGTGTGGTAACTATCAGTAAATGATGAGGTCTATTATGCAGGATATGCTTTTTATTTTGCTATCAATCAAAATAGTAAAATAAATAATGGAGTCCACTGTATAGGGGTGTGTGCATGAATACTAGAAGCTTAGCCATATCACATAAAGAATCAGCCAATCAATAAAAGTAATTTGGGTCATTTTACAACAAATGGAGGCTCCTCAGCAGGAGGGCAACTCATATTACAGATCACTCTTAAAATAGTTAGATTTAGATTTATTCAACCACAGAATCCATGGTTAACTAATAGTGTGTTTGATTCAGAATAAATGCACACAAACAATGAAATTTAGTTGAGGCAGAAATACAGCGCAATATTATTATTTATACATTGCCATAGTTGTTCAGTGGCTTTGCCAAAAATATAAGAAGGCAGGTTCCTGCTCTGAAAGATTCATTCTTTGCTTCCATCCATTGTTTACACACAGTATTTATAATATTTACATATGTCAGATCACCTAACAGTCTGAAATACCCTGAGTTATCTATTGATGTGAGCATAAGTTAATGAACCTAGTGGCAAACTTTGAGGACATTAATTAATTTCTAGATGTTTAGATTTCCAGTTTCCTAATGTAGTTTGTGGATTGACTAGAAAGCACTAGGCTGAGGAGGAGAGAAGTTTCTGGCTGCTGATAGGCAGGACAAGTCAGGAAACTTAAAAAGAGCTAATTTTGATCTCCTTCCCTTGCTGGAAAGTACCTCCTTCACCTCTCAAGGTGGGGGTCGGGGTGGGGGGTGGCAGGTGAGCCATATCATGAGGTGAGGCCTGAAGTGGAGAAGAAGCCAGTAAAGTGAGATGGCAGATAGAAATGGGTGGGACGCATGAAGCTCTCTGCCTATTTGGGGAAAGTAAGGTCTTGTGGTGCTTGTCATAGAGCTAATAAAGGGAGATGAGGCAAAGACTGGAGCCTGTCTTCTCAGTTCCACTCCCTTAGTGTAGAACTCTGAGGATGCATAGTTTTTTTCTCGGCATTTTACAAGTTAAATGAGACGTTCAAAATATTTTAAAGCAAAGTTCTAATACTTTACATTGGGCAAAATGTTGCCATAATTTCAAAACACATTAAACGTTAGTGTTTGGCAAAATCTAGTTCAAAATAAGAACGACACATTATCTAGTATCATTGCCTTGTGAAGGAAGGACCACATAGGACATTAGCATAAAATGACAACAATATATTGTGTGGCGACCAGGCCCCTGACCATGCAAATGTTTTTGCACATACTTAACCCTAAGTCCCATTGACTTCAGTGGTTGTGATGACCAGTTTTTCTATTTCAAATGACCTAATTCAACAACTTCATAAAAAGTAAGCACTTTGGTAAAGCTTCAGAGATGATTTCAGAAAGGGTAAAAAATAAAAAAGTCAGAAATTTAGGACTATTCATTAACTTTCTATGTTAAAAAGATCTGAATTATTTTAAGAGCACTATACTCACATTTTAGATATAGTAGAATGAACTAATTATGAAATGTATGCCTCAAAGATTTCAATTTCAGGCTTGACTTTACTTTGAAAATTAATTTTTTACTTTATCATTTTTTAAGGCAACTCAGTGGACAGTCTATCTGAATATTACTCATTGTTCAGTGATGTATGAACTATATTTAATCAATGTGAAGAAAATAATATTAAACTATTATCAGAAGCATCAAATGTTCTAAAAACCTCAAAAAGAAAGGTCAAAAGGTAACATCTTTGCTAACAATATGAGAAACAATGTATTTAACTTATTCTTTATATCAAAGCTTTTAAATGAGTTATGAATTACTATTCTTTTGTCATATAAAATGAAAATAAAAATTATGTTCTTTTTACCAAATATAATTTGTATTGTTTCAAGACATTTTATTCATATACATATTAGAAAGCAAAGATATTTTTTCAGTATTTTCCTAAAAAGCATTTTTAAATAACTATTTCAGCGCTAAACAATCATTTGAATAGCTGACTGCAGATTTTCACGACACGAGACTTATACAACTACATCCAACGAAGATGTGGTCATCATGAAATCACTTGCTATGTCAGAGAATTAATTGTTTCATGACAAAGTAAATGTCAACAAAGGTAACTATCTCATGATAAATACTGGTAACTCCTCCCCCCCCCCCCCGACATTTTTATCAATACTTCCCCATGCTTTCAAATTTCCTCTGCCATTCTCGGTTCATTTCAAATGATGATCCCAAGAAAACCCTTCAGTATGGACCTCTATTCAGTCATTCTCCACTTTTCTCACTACTACTTGGATAGAACCACTATCATGTGGTCTTGGTCTTAACTTTGATCAAGATGGCAAGACAAAGGTGGTTTGTCTGTTTTTCCAGAAGATAGGGAAAGGCAAACAGCCTTTCATTTCTAGACTACTGCTTCAAATCTAGTTGTTCAGGAGCCTATTCTACATGAAATGCATTGAAGGTTTCAGTTAATTTCCAAGCTAATCGATGTCAACATACTAAAAATACTTTGACAATGTGTGTCCTGGTAGCTGTTGAGGTGGAGAGATCAAAGATTTCATAGGTTACATGCCAGAGCTAGCCTCTACAATTCCTAGAGCTGGTTTTACTGGGTCAGGGTAGAAACACATGAGCCAGATTTTCAGCTGGTGTCACTCAGTGTAACTCTTCTGACATCAATGAACCTATGCCAATTGACAGAAGCAGAGGCTCTCATCTATTAGTGTGAGATGGAGAATCTTGCTGTGTCACTTTCCATAACCTACCCAGTCATAAAGCAGGAACTTCTAAAACACCAGTGTGGCTTGCACCTTCCCAGATAAGGAATGTATAAGCTCAGTCTTGCATTCTGGCTTCAACGAAAAGAAGCTGCTAATAAACTTGGGTCTCCCTGCACAGCAGCATAATGTACTGTCAGCAACAGACCTTGAGCAAGCAGGCCTTTGACAATTTAAGGTCACACATCATAGGTTAATGACCAAAGAAGAATTCTCAGCATAAATTAGTCTGAATTAATTAATAAAGAGTGTGTGAATTTTTTCTTTACTATTTCAAAGTTTTGGGATACTGCACTGTAACTTTTGCATAAATTCTTGGTTAAATTATTAGTAACACATTGTAAAGTTAGAAATATACACAAGTTAAAGTGAACCATATGTCTTAAGAAATTATTTAGTTTATGACATTATTAAAATAAATTGCTATTTCCTTACTGTCTGTTTAGCATATTTGTAACATCAGGTCCAATGATGGTGATAGCCTTGCTTTTGTCCCTGTCTCCATTGTGCAAAGCCCTCAGTCTCACAGGTATATACCAATCTGACTTCCTGCCAGCTGGTTTCTTAAGTGAAGGACTGTTTGGAACCAGCAATCCCTCAATTGGCCAGTCAAAATCCTTTAAATAAAATAGCAAAATATTAATTGAGTTTAATACATGTAATTGAGTTTAATCCAGCAAGAATTTTGTTATTTTGGTTTTTATTTTGTTGCACAAACCATTTAAATGTTTTTAAAGTTAACCTTAGTAAAGTTAAGGTACCACAGTGATGGCTGAGGTATAAGAACCTAGATAGTTGGAAAGACAGACAAAATGAAATATTTCCAAAAGCACTTATGCAACTATGGAGTTCTGGCTTCTCAATCTTGGAAGGGAAAAAACGACAAAATCCTCAGAGTTCTCAGTGGAACAAAGAAAGGGAGAAAGTATGCTGGAGTCTGTCAATAGTCTGAATCAGATGCCCTTCATCAGTATATAATAAACCTCAGACATGAATGACCAAAGCTACTCTGTAGTTTGGGAAGGAGGGATTGTGTTAAAGTAGGAGTTTTTATTATTTTTCCACCGTATAGAACACATCTTAATAACTATGGTCCTGATCTTGTAAACACGTATGAATGTGCTTAACTTTCTTACTGTGAGTAGTCCCATTAGGTTGTAATAGTTAAATTAAGCACACATGTAAGTCTCTTCAGGATCAGGGCCTATACTATCTCATGGAAAATCTCCATGTGATTGCACAATATCCTTGTAACAACTACAACAATCACTTCAATGGGAAAGTATTATTAGGAAAATGTCTAGGAATAAGTGTTTTTTCCCCTTTATTAATCACACTGTCTCCTTTCGATCTTCACTTCCTCTCTTCCTCCCACGTTATTTTGTTCCTACTTTTCCCCTTTGATCTCCTGGATATGCTGCCCAGCTACCTAGTTCCCTCTTCCTCTAGATATTCCTTTCAATTTCCATTATTGACACCTGATTTCTCTCCGATGGGCAGCTCCTGACTGATCGTTGATGCTCAGGAGTGCCATACTTGAGAGATACTGCTCTTATTCTATGTGGTAGTGGCCACAGGGCAGGTTGCTAAGTTGTCTCTCTTCTTTGTTTCCAGTTACCTCTTGGGGCATCCAGACTTTTTTTTTCCCAATTAAGAACCTAGCCACCTGAAGAAGCAGAGCTGTAAAAAACAAGGAAGAGGAACCAGCACCATGTGACCTGCCTGATGTCTGCAGATCTCCAGTGGCCACAAGCTGCAATTTGAGTGCAGCATGCACCTCAAGGTGGGGAGGAAGAGGGAGGCCTTTTCTGGACTGGCAGTATCAGCTGAGTTGGTGGGGTTCAATAAGTCATTGATCCTTGTGCAGCTGAGGTGGGGAGCTTATATAAACCCTGGCCCTCCAACCTGACCTCCCTCTCATGCTTCATTAGCAGTTGCAAAGAGTTGGCAGAGAAGCCTGCCATGGTTACATGTGGCCATGGCCCTCCCCTATGCGGGACTGGGGGTCCCAGGAGATTCAGGGTAACTAGTGGGTCCCAGGATTATAATAGAGGGCAACAGTGGCAGGCAGCAGCAGGACCCAGAGATCATGCTGTTGAATTAATTACCGAAAGAAGGAGGAGGTCCAGAAGGTCCCACACTGGTCAAGAATTGACAAAGGGCCAGTGTTATCTGGATTAATTTGAGATTACGGCCACCAAATGAGGACTTCAGAGATGATACAATGAGAGAGCAACAAAGAGTCAGTCATTACAGAAACATAAGTACAGTGCAGCAAGTTAATGTTGTTAGAGCAAACTTAGCTGCTGGAATGCCATGATTTTAGTGCTTGATCTCACAATTTAATGCCGCATTCTCTATTTTTAGGCATTTAATTTCCTACCTAATTTATTTTTTTAAGGAAAAGAAATATCCTTCCCAGGCCATAACCTGCTGGGTGTTACTGAAATAGGAATTGGTACTATATATATATATATTGAACTGTTTTAATACAGTAGAAATACTGCCTTTCATTAAGAACAGATGCCTCATCTTTAATTTCTTGATTGGTAAATACTGTGAATATTGTAGTTTAAAAAAAAAATCTGTTTGAAATCTAACAAAGTTCTGAATAGTTTAGTCTATAAAAACCTTCCCCTGTCTTCAAAGTTCCCTTTGCTAGTCTAGGATTTAAATCCTGATTTTCATATATTTTAACAGAGGGAATGGAATCTTCAACTTTTGCTTTGTCAATATTAATTCACTTGTACCAAATTCATGAGAGTCACTGGTGGCTAACAGCACTGTGCAGCCTGACAGATAATGTTCACTTAGAGGATCAGACATCTTTCAATTTAATTCCTGATGAAGTTTATTTTTCATTAATAAAAAAACAATCTGCTATGTCTACGTCTAGTATGGCTGAATATTGTTTCATTTAGAGTCCAGTTCTGCCACACTAAGTCATTCTAAGTAGTACCTTACTCCATAACTAGACACATTGATTTACGTGTTACAGGTGGCAGAACTGGGCCTTTGTTTGTTTTTCAAAACAATCAAACAAACAAAAAATGCTGCTATCATTTAAGATAACTGAATACCAATAAAACCAGCTAACGTTTAAAAAAATTGAAAGTATATACAGTACTACAGATTTGAAGTATGACCTAAGGAATAATCTCTAGGAGAAAAATCCAGCCTTGTGCAGACAATGTCCCTTTTACTGCCAGCCAAATACTGACTCATAGGTGAGTATTGCTGCCATCAACCATGAAAATATAAAAGCCAAAAGAAAAAATAAAGTTAATATTACCTTTTCTAGGGAAAGTTAAACATTGAATTGCACATTGCTATGGATACTGTGTTCTATTAAAGTATTGGTGTTTCAGAATTAAAGACTGGTAGAACAAATCTTAAAGTTCCATTCAATTTGCAATAATTCATTAAAACAACAGACATTTTTGCACGAGCACCAGCATCTATTTTCATTTATTCTTTTCCAAAAATTGCATGGCATGCTTGGACCAGTATATCACATCTGTTCAGCTTCAGTGGATATTTAGCAAACTAAACAAACTACTGCATGTGTTGTAATTTCTTGAATGCATGAAATTACCTCATTAAGTTCTCCATTTGGAAGGACAGGCCACATGTATGTCAGCTTATTCCATAGCGGATTCTCCACTTTGGAATGTTTCCACTGGTCTGGTTTAGTTGTCCCTTCATGCTTTATAGCCCATCTGAAAAAAATGAAGTTGAATCTCTTTTTTTATAATTACATTTCCAAATGTTAATAATTCTTGAGCAGTTAAATTACAACTTTCTCTCCAGAGATGGTGCAGAGCAAAATCCTCGATATGGTTTGAGCATCCAACCTCTTCAGATGGGTGAGCTAACACCTTGGAGCAGAAAACTCCTCAACCTGGAGGTTTGAAGTCCATCTCTCAATCTGAACTTCCCCAAATCTTAGAATGTTCAGATTTGACCCATGTCAGAGATAGGTTTTTGAGCTTTGAAACTGGGCCATGATCCTGCAATTGACTGTGTGCAGTTGCACTCAGTTGCAGGATCAATGCCTGGAATTCTCATGTGAGTTTTAATCCTCTCTTTGAATAGTTCCTTGACAATACATAATGTTGAGAGTGATGGAATGCACACCATGTTAGCCATTGAAGTAGTTTTCATATTGTGCCTAGTTACATACCACATTGAAGTAAATGATAAGTAGCTATGAGTTGCAAGGTTAAAATGCCATTAACAACTATCTACAAGCATCAGAATGTAATGTAATTACGGTGCTCATTTAAAAAGAGAAAAAATCAAGGAGTAATCCTTTATAAATATACAAATATAGGCCCCAATATAGAAGGGGCTTAAGCACATGCTTATCGACAAATGTGCTTAAGTCCCATCAATTTGACTTATGCATATACTTAAATTTAAGAACACACTTAAATAACTCTTCTGAATAGAGATGCTCTCCTGAATTTCAGCCATAATATCTAATATATTGTCCAACTATAGATATGGGACATCTTAACATAAAACTTTCTATGGCTTACTTGCATTCCAGATTTATTAAAATGACAGAAGATTTTGATTTATAATCTTGATTATTCATCCTGAATAGAATCCTTAGAATAGAAACTAAGTATATATATTTTTTTCTTAGTAATTTGTATTTTGTAGCTGCCAGGGTCAGTAAGAAGTTTCCTTGCTTCCCATGAATTTCTGCAAGTCCTTACAGGTTGTGAATCCTCATTGTCTTCCTCTTCTTCTTTGTAACGTAATGCAGATTTCCTAAAATCCCCCTTGTATATTTCAGAATATCACAACATCTTCCAAACAGAATATCGTTTATCTGTGGTTTCCAGCACACAGACTCTACATTTCAAAAGGAGCCGTTAGAAAGAATTAGCGGAATGAACAGAATGGGAATCAGGCCCTCCTGTGGGTTTAACTGGGACTGCTGGTTAAAACCAAGACCACTGAGATTAAAATGTACCCATGGACTACTTGCAAATGAAATGACAGAAAAATAATAAAAGCAATTTCAGCTGGTAAATTTCAAAGAACAACATAAGAGGATCATGTATACTTGTTACACAAACTTACATAACCATCATATTTGGTATTTTCTCAAAGCTCCATGACAAAGATAGAAATGTGGCAATGCAGAGCAAATGTTCTATGGCTACAGAAGAGCTGGGAGACACCAGACCCTGCATAGAAACAGCTGAAGCCCTTGTACAGTTTCGCTCCAAAAAATACTGCATATTTGCAGACATGCTCTGTTTATTCCCATTTTGGTTTTCCAAAACTGAGAAATGTCTTAATTCCTGAATGCAGTTTTTTTCATATTTGGCTATCACTTGTAAGTCAGAGCAACTGGAAATAACAGAAAATGCACTCAGGAAATCGGTTTGGTTTTGGTTTTGTAAGAACCGACCAAGAATAGAGTGAGCTTGTTCCATTATGTTTGCAAACCACTGTAGGAGAAGTGGATGCTGCAAAAATGTGTAGGGCCCCAGTTAATAAGTACACAAAAGCTGAACCTTTAAGAACTTACTTGTCTATTTCTAAGAAAAATTAAGAATGAGTAGAGAAGTGATCTTAGTTCAGTACCATACATACTCTCTGGAATCGATTCTCCACTCAAGGTATATATGTCACTGCCATGGAGAAGGGTTTATATTGTGCATACAGTATATATAGCATATGAAAAAATTCAGTTGGTATAATATATTCAGGGTCAGATCCGCCATTGCCTTGCACCTTTTATAGTCATTAACATCAGTGTCAAGTGGTTGTAAAATGACACCAACTCATAATAGTGGGGTTTCATACCCACTTGACACTGATGTTAATGACTACAGAAGGTGCAGGGCAACCAAGAAGCAGGCCCACCAAATTTTAGCAAACAGCATATGTATTTAAGCTTGTATTGTGCATATATAGAGACTTTGGATAGAAAATGTACACAATTTACTAAATAACATACTGTAGATGTTAGTGTGATGGATGTGGAGTGGCTCTGTATTAATTTGTGAATACTGTATGTTAACCTGGTTATTAGGATGTCTACTGTATTAAGATATTGGTTTAGGAGAGGGACAAGGTGGATGAGGGAATATCTTTTATTGGACCATCTTCTGTTAGTGAAAGAAACAAGCTTTTGAACTACATAGAGTTCTTCAGGTCTAGGAAAGAAAACCAGTGTGTCACATTGGGAAAAGATTGTTAAGCATAAGAGGTACCACCTTGTAACGGACCATTCAAAAAGAAGTGGCCCATTAACACCTCTGTAGTCACAGAACAAAGGAAGGTTAGTGGGTTACAGATTGTTGTAAAGAGACATAAAACCTGTACCTCTATTGAGTCCATGATCTTCAGTGTCTAGCAAAGTTATGAATTTAAGTTCCTAAGCTCATGTTTGTGAAAGGTTCCTTTGAGGATGAAGACTGAGAGGTCAATATGGAGTGATCATTTTGTAAAAAGTGTTTGCCCACAGGTGACATGGTGTTTTTGTCTTTTATCACTTTTCTGTGTGAGCATAGTGATTGTCTATGTGAGCACAGTAATTTTATCCTGTAACGAGGCAGTGTGGTCCCCCGCCGCCCCAGAGAGGGCAAGCCACTCCAGACACCAGAGTGAGTGGAGCCAGGGAGCTCCAAGCCCGCCTCCCAGAGGGTCAGGCGCAGGACAGGAAGTAGAAAAGCAGGGGGCCAGAGCTCCCTCGGGGGGCAGCCGCTGGAGAGGCCAGATGCCTCCGGCCTAGCTCCCGGCTGGGAGACCCTGGCAACCAGCCGTGGACCTGAAGACTGGCCCGCCCGACCAACACCTGACGCTGACCAGAGCCCGGAGGAGCTGCCAAGCCTGCCCCTCGCCAGTTACCGGGAGGAGCTGTCAAGCCTGCCCCTCGCCAGTTACCCAGAGGGGCTGCCAAGCCTGCACCTTGACAGTTACCCGGAGGAGCTGTCAAACTTTCCCCTCGCCAGTTACCCGGAGGAGCTGTCAAGCCTGCCCCTCGCCAGTTACCCAGAGGAACTGCCAAGCCTACCCCTCACCAGTTACCCTGAGGACCCATGGTGTTTGACCCCCCCGAGGATACCGTCCTGACCCAGGTACCTCTATAGGGAGAGTTAGAAAGTGGCCTGGGGGCAGCCGACCCTAGTCTGGCACCGTCAGTGCCAATGTCAGTGTATTGCAGCCAGGATCCCCACTGACTCAGCAGCAGGCCTTCTGCCACTGCTAGGGCCCCGGGTTGGGACCCAGTGGAGTGGGAGGGCCTGCGTCCCCACTGCCACCCATCTTGTGGGTGGCAGTCTCCCCCTCTCCCAGGCCCTTTGGAGCCAAGAGCCTGGGCTCGTTGTTAACCTGTTTGAGCTCAGCCCCTGCCTGAGGGCTTAAGCCACTGACTCCTTGCTGCCCCGCCCTGACCCAGGGCTTGAACCTGTTACTTATAAACTGCTGCTCAGCCCCTGCCTAAGGGCCTGAGCCTTAGACTCATTGCCGCCCCGGCCTGACCCAGGGCCTGGGCTTGGTAATTGTAGAACTGTTGCTCAGCCCTGTCTGAGCCACCGCCCACCACCTGAATAACTGTTTTATGGCATCTCCTCGGACACCCCCGTGAGAGACTCCTGCGACCAGACTGAATTTCAGTCTAATTTCTTAGGACTAGCCTGTGCACTGCCACTGGGGCTTCCCCTGGCACACAGCAGTGTCTATAAGGTACTACAAAGCCATTAATATTTTTATTTTGTGGGTTTAAGAATTATCCTTATTTTTTAAAAAAATTACGGTTTTATTTTCTCTCTATTCCTGATAATGCTGGAAATAGAGAAGAAAGAAAACATGCCATTGACATACTCTTGAGGCTAAGGCTCTTTAGGATTCAATAGCATATCCGTGGGTCTATGATGATTCTGCCAGGTTTTGTGTATTATTGTTAATGAACATTCACAGCATTCACCAAAAGGTCTTTGCAGAAAGTGCTATTAGGCTGCCAAATTTCAGCACAGTGTGAATTTTTATAGCCAAGTTATAAACCCCTGAAAATTGTGTTTTTATAAATGAAAAGCTGACAGATCCTCAACTGCAATGGCATTAATGGAGGCAACTGTAATGACTGTATATGTGCATAAAATAAATTATATCCTTACAGCCTTTCATATGTTTGTAGTATCACTTATTACTGAGAGATTTGAAAGTCATATAATTCTCCGAAAACACCACTAGGTGGAGGCAGTGATTCACAAAATGCCTCCTGACAGACAGCTTTCTAGATGCTGCACTGCAGTTACTTCCAGTTAACATAATTTAATATCCCTATTCAGTGTATTACTGATGCAATTGTGTGGGTTATTTTTTCAGTAGATGCCTCACAGAAAGTAAAATAAAACTATTCATGCGCTCAATAGCTAGCAAATTTCTCGCTCGCTCTCTCCCCCCAGCACAGACGCAGAGCTCAAAGCAAGTTTAAAGACAAAGTATCAGAAGTTTAACCCCAGACTTGATATATGTGTTAAGAATATTAATTACAAAAAAAGAGAAGACAAGGCACACCACTTATACTTTTATTTGAAGCTACGAGACAGCCTGATCTATGTTTTTAAATCTACAGTTGCTGACATTTTACCACTTTGCTAGCAAAATTATACCCAATCTTTTTTCCAAACCAGATTTGCCTTATCTGTTCATTTATTTTCTCCTGGTGAAGTCAATAAGGGCTAACATGTGC